ACTTCTTTCTCTTTTACTCCGACGAAGGACTAGCGTCCGAAACGTCAGTAAGTTTTTTCATCTTTTCACGGTGTATAATTTACCTTTTCATCATTATTGTTTCATTAGAAACACCGACGCAGCTCACACTAGTTTTTAGCTAGTTATATCTTTTTAGTCTAACCTCTAGCTCAGCTGGTAGAGCATCGGTAGTACAATTCCGAAGGTCGTGGGTTCGATTCCCAGCGAGGTCGGAAATTAATTTTYCCRAATTKAATTCCAAGGGTCATTCGCCCGGAATAACCTCATTCCCAAGCACTATTACTTATCTATATTTCTATATCTTCATCTATTTGGCTTACTTGTATACCTTTTAAGATTTCTGATGACGATTTTCTGTATGAAGACCAAAATAGTTTTCTTAAATTATAAACATTATTTTAGTCACGATTGCTTATGAACAAGGCAGCTCAAGGTACAAACCTATGATATTTTTTTTACAATTGTTCTTGCAACTTAGAATCTTGTCATACGAAAATAAAACATTTYGTAATTTAGAGAGAAAGGGATATATTATTAAAAGACAAAAGAAGATCACTGAAGCTGAACCCTTTGTTYTGTCTATTAGTTTATTCATTTCTCACTAAATTACTAATGTTCTTTCTTCCTTCGACAAACTTGTTGCAACTAAGTGTTATACTATTTTTTTTAAGAATCACAAACTTAATTTTGACATTACTTCTTTGATATGGGTTTGATATTTTGATTGCTTTTACGGTTTTTTTAATACAACAATTTATATTTTTAAATTATTTTTTAATTGAATATTTTTTACACATTTACTTTTTCGAGTCGTCCACTSCTTTCATCATATTTAGAATCGGGCTGGTTGCCATGGTCATAATATGCCCTGGATCCCATTTTTTCTGTGCCCCAAGCAAATGTGTCTGGGTAAGAAGAAATCAGATGTTCCTGAATGGTTGAAACTTCCTCGTCTTTGGCACAAGCCAATCATTTGCACGCTTTAACACTTCTCCCACCTCCATCAAAGCTTTCGTCGATCTGATCACTGTCTTGCTTTGCTTCAGAGACATTGGCATCCAATTTGCCATTGTCTTGAAGTTTACTCAAAAATTTTTTTGTTCTAGTACTAGCATCCTGGAAAAAAAGGGCCTAAGTTGGCTAAATATGATATCAAAAAAATATAGGGGGAAAGGAGGAAGAGGARAGGAGGAGGAGGAGAGGAGGAGGAGAGAAGGAAGAGGTATTTTTACATCGACCTCTTATCGACCTCACATCGACCTCTCATCAACCCTCAATCATAGAAAAAAAAATCAGCAAAAATAAGATTATTATAAAATCCGTTATTAATTTTGGCATTTCAAATGGTCTTGGCCGTGGAGATAAGAATTGGCCATGTGATTCCTGTGTTTTTCGATAACTAAATCGGATATGGGCTTCCTGTAGATTTGTGCATTCATAAAATTGTTTTGATGCCGTGCCTTATTTATCACGTGACAAAAAATGATTGAAGGAAAAGAGATATGACAGCATTAGTAAGCTTGAATGCCAGCGAATTTTAGAATCATTGTAATACGGTCCAGTATGAAATAAATGATCGCTGTTTATATAATAAAGAACAAGATAACAGAACTAATCATTTTCAGCTGAATTTTGCATAATTAGGAAGAACTTAGTAAGTCTTATTGTTTATCGTTTATGAGTCATTAATTGCATTGTGTTGCATACAATAGTCATCAAATACTCGAAGTTTTTCTTGAGTTTGATRAGGGACGTGATTTGTCCAAGAATCTACAGCTAGGAACAATCAGTATAACTCCTGCCCAAGCTCGTTCAAGTAATAAAAGAGAAGGTCGTTCAAGTAAGTTCGTTAAAGTAATAAAAGAGAAGGTCGGTCGATTTCAKTTGTTGTTTTGATCAACTCAGCTGTTTCCATTGTGTTGTATACAATAGCCTGGCTTGGACTTGCCCGAAGCCACCTCAAAAACAATAGCTYACCACTTGCCGATCATTTTATGCTAATATTTGATGAATAATTAATGTGCTCGTCCTGCTCTACTCGAAGCCACCTCAAAAATTAGCAAATCCACCTCGAAAATCCGGCTCGTGAGGTGCGGCCTAAACTACTTCTAAAGTTAGGTATTGAGAAGTCTTTTCAAAAAATGAAGTAAAAAGGGGGTGTCCGACTTCGTTTTAGAGCTAAAATAGATTACAGACGTTAATTTTTATAAGATTTTGCTTATCAACACATTGGAATGAAGTCATAAAGATGACCGCGCGCTCGTTAAATTCATGCGTATAGAAGGTATGCGCGCGAACAATGCACAACCAAGKCAACCCAGTATACGCTCTTAGAGCGTCTTGTTGGTAACTAATTTTTGTTTYATGGGTTAATTAACATTGTTTTACTGGAATGTAATTATGTGCTTAACTGATATAGTTCAAGTACTTAACTAGAATTCCTTTTTTTCAATTATAAAATTGTAGAAACTTCCAAGCCTGATTTTTATGTGGATACCTGCCTCAGTGGTTTACTTATTGCTTGATCTTGCCGTTATCATTTACTGTGTTGTCACATATACAGATGTAAGTATGAACACAGTGCATGAATAAGGAATTTTTATTTCAGGCCTTGAACAAGTAAAGCTTGCAGGGTTTGAGTCCCAACGGGCTATGTGTTGTATGCAAGTAGACTCGCTTGTTGGATGTTCTCTGGTTTTTCCTCACTCCACAAAATACAACTTAAGCTTTAAATTCTCCTTCGATGTATCAGATGCCTCTTAAGTGAGTTCTAGACCTTTTAGGCTTTTGGTCCACCTTGGTGTAGGGAATTTGAATCAATAAATGGAGGAGGCTATAAATCGTTCTCCTAACTTGCAGAATCAAATCAATTTCGTGATGTCTTAAAAAACAAAGCATGATCCTAGTTCTGATTTCACAACATAGCTACTTAAGGTGGCTCGACACAATAATTTTAAAGCACGACTCCTGTACATGCATTGCAAACTGCGCTGCACCAGATATACCTTGGCCAAACATGAGTTTATACTAAGTGTAGGGATAGATGGAAGTTTTAAATCGTGTGTATTTCGTGACCATCGGACACGCCCTGAAGGCGCAGTGACGTCATGTGATTATTTTTTAAGTCTATTTTTGACMTTTTTAGACCTTGAAGACTACCATAGTATGTTTCAGACAGTGAACTCCGTTTCTCTGGGTCTGGTCACATTACGCCAAAAAATAGATTTAAAAAATAATCACATGACGTCACTGTGCCTTCAGGGCGTGTACGATGGTCACGAAATACACACGATTTAAAACTTCCATCTATCCCTACACTTAGTATAAACTCATATTTGGCCAAGGTATATCTGGTGCCGCGCAGTTTGCAATAGAAGTACAGGAGTCGTGCTTCAAGATTATTGTATCGAGCCACCTTAATTCACATTTTTTCAAACTCCCATGTTGTATGGATCGCCTCTTCTTGGGTGCAATGTTCTCCCATTTCAGACCACGTGTCATTTTTAGAGTATCATTCCTTTGTTTTACCGTTGGGTTTGAGAAGGCACATCAATGGATACAACTTAACCAAAGAATGTTATTAAGAGGATAACACTTGTATGAAATTGGAAACATTATGCCCTTGGCAAGGAGGTTTATTGAWTGATTCAAATCAAGCACCAAACCCCAGAGATGTGAGAGACAAGTACACTACCACAACATCACCCTTGATTCCCCAATTCTGTAAATCAAGAAGAGRATACTAGAGCACTGACGACGCTTATTTTTGGTTTTCAATATCCAACCCTACATGCTCCTATTTTAACAGCTTTATTCATTTTATCTGTTGTAATTTTAGCTGAGTTCTATTGCTCTCTACATTGGAATATCATGTTTCTGGTATGCCCTCCACGTGAGTATCATTCTAGAATGGGGCAGGGATGGTAACGTGAGGGCGTAACATCTGTACTTGTGTGGAAGTATGGATTCACCTGTACTTGTATTGTAGCGGATGGCAGCTCCTTGTTGGAGAGATCCGTGAAACTTAATTTAAACCAAGGCTAAGAATCTTGAATTCTACAAAGTTTAATAATCTTTTAACAACAACTTAGCGGTAAGTCGATGTTAAATCGTCGAATTTCTGTGAGTCTCTGATTTGACTTCACATCGGGTTTGATTACATAAGGTTAAAATCACGTGGCACAATAATTATTAAAACATTACTACGGGAGCTTCCGTTACATGTATGGAAGTATGGGTGTTGTGCACTGCTATTAAAGTGCATATCAACCGTAAATGTTTTTTTTGTCGTTCTTAATTATTCATATAGTGTAGTGCTATTTTATTTTATAACTAAAATTCTGAATTGCTCTTGATAACTTGAATTGTATTTCCTAGAAGTGTTTTTGATAGGTTCCATCCACTAGTAAAAACAAGCAATTTACAATTACTTTTTTAATACATATATTATGAGTTATTTTACCTCAATGGGTTAATAAAGTGTGAAAACTAATAACATCAAAACCAGAATAGAATACCTATGCATGAATCAATAATAAAGCCAAAAAATATCATTCATTCATTGTCTTCGTAGCCCTGAAAATTATTACTAGGAAACTCTTTTCTTATAGCATCATAAACACAAGCTGGCAGTGGCATCCTCTTTGGCCCTAGGTATCCATGAATTAGTTGGCGGTATTCCCTGTATCCTGTCGCACGAAGAAACCTGAAGGAAAATATGATGTTATAATTAGRGTGSAGTCACTAAACCCGTGAAATAGATTTCAGACTAATATTTGTACTAAAATTTACAGTGTAAGATATCTTAYTTACTTTTAAAAAAATTATTCAATGAGTTTTTAAGATTTCATGCAGATTTTTCGTAAGGCTCATCCGCAATGCTTGGAAATAAATATGTTMAAACTTCAAGACAATCCATTTAATGGTAATGTTTCTGCAGTGCGATGTTTCATATGCTTCAAATTTTGGATCGAATTTTCAAGCAGCGTCATAACTTTTTTCCTGCCCAAGACTTTCCATCCAAATTTATACACAGGCAGCAATAGTACTAGATGATATGATTCTGAAAATTTCAGAAAAATCGTACCTGAGGATGAGGAGAAAAAAGCCAAAAACTAAAAACATTACTGTTTGATTTTCTGCCGTAATAGGCTGAATAGTTTAAAAATCTTATAATAAATACACTATTAGAATCTAGGATAATCCAAGCACATTATATGAAAAATACAGATAAATTGATGTAATAGTTTTACGAAGGGAGCGAGAATAAAATTGTCCAATATTCGCGCTGAATTAGTTTGGTTCCACCTTAAATGGAGGTACAAAAACTCAATATGGCACTTGGAAGTTTATATCAGTCAATTATTAGAGATGCCCCCCCACATCTCCCTAGAAACCGTAATCCACCTGCCCCGCGGCAATAAATATTGATAATGACCAGCCCCTAAAGCTCCATTGATGCGGAATATACCATATTTTCACCTTGATTCTAATAACTTTTCTTTTTGTTTTTCTCAGATCTACTTCATAATGGTTGTGGCGCTCTACTTGAAATACCTTACAGGAAGACTTCTTCCTGGAGCTGGTTACCACAGCCTAACGTCTGATGCATAAACTACACCCGAATATACCTGATGACCTCCGTCACGCAATCATATAATATTACGAAGCGCATACCATGTGTAGTATGGTCGAACCCTTGGCTGCCCCATTTACGTCACGCAATCTTACAATGAAGAATATATAAACGTACGAGATATGTGTGACCAAGGGTTCGACCATATCCGTCACRGCGCACCTTTATCAATAGTTGTTCCGAGCGCGCTTCCATAATAGCGCAGCGCAGCCGTGACGTCATAAAAACGAAGACAAAGGCGAAATTCGGACAAACAAACTTACAAGTTTACTTTCAGCAGATAATTTTCGCAGCCGATCGCAGTTGATCTTAGTTTACATGGGTTTTTATCGTAACTTTAAGTAAAAATAATAAAATCGGCTCGTATAATCCTCGTAGCGGTTAAACAGAATGCAATGTTTGTCCGAATCTTTAAGCTATTTTAGAATCAGCGCGCTACGCTATTTCACGCGTTATAAACGGTAACGTTTCAACCCCAACATTAATTTCGGTCTCTGACAAACTATTTTTACCATATTTTCGCTTATCAATGTAGTAACCAGTGATGATGAGAAATCGAGATCAATCGGTTGGACTGATTGCAATTAAATACAAAATTTGAAAAGTAAGCATTTGTCGCTTTTATTACATATCATATTGTGTCTACTATTCACGGCGCCATAAAAAACGAAATCGACGGAGAATTTTTGTTTCTGCGCAACAATATGATTAGTTTGGGCWTTGTACTTATTACTCCTGAAATTTCAAGTGAGTGGAATTTTTAGAAGCCCTTGGAAATACGAAAAATAACATTGCACGCAATACATATCTGTTTCGCCTTGAATAAGCCTGAAGCGAGATGACGTTTTACCCCCGTCTCTAGACCATAATCCTTTTCACATTGCTTTTGTTCTTTAATTATGACTATTGTTCCTGTATTCTCTAAGGAATCAAAAATTTTAATATGRAAGAATTTTAAAAACTATTATGGTATAGAGTCGGGGGTAAAACGTCATCTCGCTTCAGGCTACCCGGGGGGTAACACACAACAGGCAGAACGAAGCCTGGGAGTGGATGAACAAACAATGAATGGTGAGATAAAACAAAGAACGCAGCTAACATGTAGAACAATACACATTGTTCACCATAATCCATGCTTTCTTTGTTTTTGTTATTTTGCCCAATCCCAAGCTTCGTTCTACCAGTGGACACCGACCTATAGAGCCAGATTTTCGGGGTTTCCTTTGTTTGTTTTGTTATGCAGCGCTTTTGTTTTTCAAATTTCACATGTTGAACATTCCATTGCACTTGTATATCATTAAACACATGAATGACTACCGAACAATCGCCGAGCAATGTAAATGCAAGTGATTTAAAAAGTACGAAAACAAAGATGGCTCAAAACAAAACAACGCAAGGAATTATACAGGGGAAAAAAACGGGATTCCATCATTCTCGATAACACGCTGTTACTTAAAATCAGATAAATAAAATAGAACGTATTTTAGTCTAATAATRTGAAATACGCTTCCATGTTGCAATATTATTTACAAAATAGTATAAAACAATTTATTCGTACGAGCCAAGCAGACCTTTGGCGCTTTTTACTCTTCCGTCCCATGAACAAATGCTTAGATTTAAATTTGACCGTCTCGCTTTTTATGCTATTCAATCACTATATAATAAAAGCGAAAAATGCTTACTTTTCTAATTTTGTATTAAGAGGGAATGCCCACTATCACCGAGCTAGGGGTGGCACATGATGAACAATCAAAATCCTTTATATTTTGTCCATTGGTACTCTAATGTATACTTAGATATATATATAAGAAATCTGTGAATCAATTTTCCGTAAAATAGTGCTCAATACATCGATAGAAGTAGAGCAGAATATTTGTTTGAGAAGAAAAAGTCAAGACAACATTTTTCCCGACATAGTCCAGTCAATCTGTGGTTCAAGATCGAACTAATTGCAACAGAATTTATTTTACCCACAATTGACAGTTTGAGGTAACCTTAGTAGCATATTGAAAATTCCAGAAAATTCCATTGGTGAGACTTCTAGAAATTCTAATTTTAATTTTAAACTAAATAATAATAATTCTAAATTTTAAACAAAGTACCACAGGGTACCCGAGTCTGGAAAAGTTGCAATATGCAATATAAATTAAAATTACCGCAATATACAAATTGTTTGGGGTTATAAACTGTTGTTCYAGTGTTTTGCAAACAATATGTTGAAAACCCACGAACATTTAACGYTAAAACGGCTTTTCTTAGAAATTCCCGCCACAGGGTACCCGAGCCAGATATTCATTTTTCCTGTAGTTTTTATTCTTTATTTTTCTTTCCTTCTATATGCAAAGTTGAACAAAAAGTGTTTGACTGAATTTGAGAGTGTTTTCAAAGTTTTGCACTCTTAAGACTTTGAATGGAAGGGTAAGCTCCAGAAAGGCCTAAGGCAACATTTTACTAACACTCCTCACTTTATTGAACAAATGCCATGGTGCTAGCGATCATCGTTTTACATCACGATGGTAAATGATCATAACCTCTTTGACCTGTTCCTTGTCTGTCTGTAGTTTTCCCAACTACACCCAAAAAAAATGCTGTACAAGCTACAATACTTGTAATGGGGATTACTATCTGGCTGGTTGCCTTCCCACTACACTCTATTACCGTCCTCCTCACTGTCTGTGAGTTCTGGCTGTGGTGAGTTGACGAAGCTGACATCTTTGCATGCTCCACAAGCAGCCGAGCAGTCCAAGCCAATTTTTAGGCAGAAACATCAGCGTACTGCAGCGTATGATCTCCAGCAGTGACAATGCATGGGCAGCAGACAGGTTGGTGCGTTTCCACCCTTCATGATCATCTCCCATCCCCATTCTTGTGGAGGTAGATTAGTTCCTTTCCATTGCTGCACCTGATGACATACTCTTAGGCTGTGAAAGCACGCAGCAGCATAAGTTGGTGGAAGGCTTTCTGGCTGGACACAAATATTGTCAGTAGCAACCTTCAGACAATAACGGTAGTATCGCAAAGAGTCAAGTGATTAGAGAGGTGGTAACACAACAAAGAAGCGCATGCGCAAATACATAAGTGTGCRTACGAGTGCATACGCATAGTCCCAATGTAGACTTTATATTATTGATGTTCCACACCCTGCGTTTCTTTGATCTTTGCTTATGCTCGGGGATAAAGAAAAGATTACTCGCATTCATCTGTCCATGGGAAATCAGTAGCACAAGCAGGTCAGTATCGTCACCAACAAGAACAGTGGTATGAGTCCGTGCTTCTTGTACGGCGGTCTGGACAATGAGGAGGTCAGCGTCACCAGGAGCTTGAAGAACAGTGCAATTGGCAAACTTCAGCTTCTATGCGAGGAGATTAATAAATCTGTGCCTGTTTTCTTGGTCGTCCTCAGGGAAATGAGCATACCAGAGTCGATTACCACGAATGGCGCACTGGTAGGAGCTCGCTGTTGGTGTGCACACCCCTTGGTTGATGGACCTTGATAGGCATCGAAAACAATCGTGGCATTTCCATACCACCCTTGTATGTAATGAACCCACATTGCACAAACAGCATCATTCGTCACCCCATGCAGCCATATGACGCGATGAATAAGTGCGCCTGCATCCACAATATAGTGCAGATCTCCTACAGGGCATAGCGTCTGTTTGCTTTCCGTTTGAGCCCATATGGCATCAACTAACACAGAGTTATTGGCTTACCTTGTAAGAAGAGAGCTGTCAAACAAGGCGCTGGGATAGCTTGACATCTAGTACTTGAACAGGGTCTTAGGATCCTGGTATTGGCCACTGGTGGCCAGAATGTTTAACCTCTGGAAGAGAAKTTGCGAGTCTATTCGTACATATCCCTTGCTGAGTGGGACAGTTGTTGTGGAGGCAAGAGTTAGTGCTTGATGCTTCTTCTGGAAAGAAAACTTGTCAACTTTCTTTCCACGCATAACCTGGATGATATTCTCTCCTGCCTCTTTAGCCTTGTCACAGGTGACATTCTCTTCGGCCACTACTCCAGACGCTGTTTCATATCAGGCATTTCTTGCTTGGCCGAGAGGTCCAGTAAAATTCGCTTTTTTTTTTTACATTTCCAAACATAAAACACTATTTTCTAACTTTTTCAAATGAAAATGACCCTGAAGCCCACAAAAACTATTAAAAAAACATGAATTTGCTGTTTTTGGGATACCTGTGGTACACAAAATATCCTTTAGCCTCTAAAATAACAAATAATTGCAACAAACACCACGTTTTCTTGTTTTATTGTGATGACGTCACTTAAACAAAGCCAACTAGGTATGCCAAAAACCTAAAATAGCATATATCCAGTTGATTATCGCTTTTGCATGGCGTGGGTACCCTGTGGTAAAACCAATAAATTTTCRAATCTAATTTTTACCATGTTCCACCAAGCAAATTTTATGGAATTTTCAGTATGTTGTTTATATAGCTACTCTTAACACTAGAACAGTGAAAAACATTTTGTTGCAATTAGTTTGATCTTCCCCTATAAAATCTCATAGATTGACTGGACTATAAGTGTTTTCGGCAATCGCATTGGAATTTGGCCAGTCTCCTTTTGCCGATTGTCGGTAATCCACTCTTCTATGTTGCTGGAAAAGAATTAAATGCAAATCACAAGTTCTCGATATATCATSAATTTGAATAAGAACGAAGAATTCTTTGAACTCGTTAGGGAAGGCGACAGGAAGCCAAATATGCAGACCTCGACTCCGCTATATAGTCACTTGTATCCGTATGCGACGAGTAAAACAAGTCAAAATACTTGACTATGTCTCAACTAGCCACGGAAGGGAAAACAAATATTCACGACCGAATACATAATATGAAAATATTACTATATTTAATGTCTGAAATATTTTCCCTTGAATTTTAAATATTTTTGAATTGTTGCTTTCTTTGTTCTAGGCAGAACAGGGCGCAGAAATAAAATGTCGTTATACTTTAATGTTGTGTTGTAGATTTCAAAGTTCGGTTGAAAATAGTGCTTTCCGCTTCATCATTGAAGCTGCAAATGAAAAAAGTTGCTAATTTTTTGGTATTGGAGGTATATCGACATAGAAGAGTGGATTACGGACAATCGGCAAAARGAGATTGGCCAAATTCCAATGCGATTGCCGAGAACACTGATGGACTAACCTTTGTTTTTAAAAATATTATTACTACGAATCTACACTGAACTGTGGAATGACAACAAACTGACACGGGGAAATAACTTATGATTGTTTATAAGCAAAGATGGACTCTTTAGAAGGCGTTTCTGTAAGATTTCGTTGGTCTTAAAAATGAAGTGACGAACACAATCAGACAATCTTGTACTAAAATATGTAAATTAGACCGAAAAACGCTCAACTTTCACTGCTGTTTAAGAGCTTGGATTTAGGTAGGTTACAAAGCTTTTTACAGTTTTTATTGCTTGTATCCTTAACTTTTCTCCCCACATTAGTTTCAAATCTCAGTCAGGTGCCACTTTTGAAAACTTGAATTTTACACTTATCTAGTCGCGCTTACTCTGTCGAGAAATGGAAAGATACTCATTTTTCTCGACCAAGTTTTAGGTGAAAGTATAAAGGTCATACAAAATCCTTTTCAGAAATAAAAGGTGAAAGTTTTGTTAGTTTTGGTTTTGATTYGTTAAAGTYATTGATTATCAAAGTCACAAAACGGCCCTTTCGGCAACAAATCGAAAAAGTATCAAAATTCATGGRAAAAATATTGTTTTTAAGAATTCGAAACACAGGGTTGTAATAGGTTTACGAAGGGGAACTCACACACTCAGTAT